CCCCAAAACCCCAAAACCCCAAAACCCCAAAACCCCATATGATAATGTTATTATGATTAAGAAAAATAAAGAAATTAAATATAATAAAGCAAATATAATCATAATCAATATATTAAATTCATCATTTAATCAGAACCAATTATTATTTTATAATTGATTCAAATTTTCATATTGTCCAGTTGTAACTTAAAGTCTACCTCCTGATGTCGTGTGATTTGGATTACTGTCATAATCCACTAAATCTTAATTAAGCATCTAATTGAAACCTTCATTTACACCAGCACTGCCACTAAGATTCTGATCATATGCTCCTCTATTGTTAATTCTATTAAGTTGATTTGAATCATTGATTGTATTAGATCTAAACTAACCCTGCCCAAGAAGTTTTCGTTTTTATCCGACGTTTCCTCCTGCACCTCCGTAAATAGTCCTTGATTCTCCTTGTGTAGTTTTAGGTGGAGCAGGATATCTCTAAAGATAAACTTTCTCCAATCCCTTGATCTTTCTTTCTCCATTATTGTTATTGTCACTATTCTTAGCGTTTCCAGCTAGCTACATCCTTCCAATCTCACTGAATGAGATATCCTTTTTTTCTTTGCCTTTTAAAAGATTCTTCTTTACTTAAGCTTGCCCTTTTGATACAGGCAGATAGAAGTCAAATTTCTTTGCTTAAACTGAGCCAGTTTGCAGGACTTTATCCTATGGCATTATATGATTAAAGTTCTAATCATCTCCTGTATCCATCTAATTAAGTGGAATTGAACTCATTGATAAAATGCTTTAAGGCTGATTGTTTAGCATTGGATTTGCTTAATAGAAGTTCATATTGCTTGCAGCATTTACTGTGTTCAGTATTTACTGGTTTCTTATAAGCTAGCTTTAATTCCCTGAATTAGATTTGTAAGCTGCTGATTGGTTTTATTTGTTCCTATTCACTCTTTCAAAGAATCTGTTAGCCTTCTCGGCATCTTATTAAATTAACTCTTACATAGGATCTGGCTAAACCTCTTATTATTGATTTTAAAGTGCTTAGGAACCCCAATTATTCATAAAAGTTTTATCTGTAGTAGCAGAATCTATTCTTTTAATATTCTCAGCATTTTGATTGTCATCATGATAGAATTAGATCTGCTGAGCTGGGAAATCAACATCCAAATCCTCATCTGTCATCTATTCCGTGATCTGGAAAGGTGGCTGAGACTGCACTTGCTGCAAAGCTAGCTAGTCTTTGGCTTCCTGTCTATATTACTATATTTCCTTCATTTAATCTTTGAAGAAAGATTCAAAATCTTTTGTTTTCCTTAGCTCATCTGGTTTTGTTTCCTCCAATAGACTATTAATAGGTTTAACTGCACTGTTATTTTGAATTCCATATGAAATCATAGCCATTCTTTTCACTCTCTCCTCTTCTTGCTGTAGATAAGGGAATAATCTGTCAGTGAGCTATCTATCTCCATCTAATTCACTCTTCTTCTTTTTATTTGTTCGCTTCTTCTTTTTAGCCTTAGGCGGCTTCCCACCGTATGCTTTAGCTAATTCCCTATCCCTTTTTCTAGCAGAATCCTCATTTTTAATAGCAAATCCATCTTCACCTAGATCAAATGGCTATGACTGTATTGCTCCATCACTATTGTCTGGATTTTCAGCAATATTCTTATCAAATTTTGTTGGCAAGTCACCAATCATAGAGTCAACACTGCTTGGCCTTGATACATCTTTAAGTTTTTAGAATTCCTCCTCAATCTTATCCTCTTCTCCCTGTAGAATTGAATCTATATCAAACTATCTTTCTGAATGCACCTGATGGAATTTCTCCTCTTGCTTGAGAAGCTACTTCTTTCTCTTTTCAAATCTATAGGGTAATGGTATTTCTTCATTTTCATCTAGTTCTGCAAACTCAAATATAATAACTCCATCCTGATTGACTATATTTCTCTAGTTATCAATTAGATATCCATTGTTGTTGACCTTTCTATTCAAATTATCTCTCATGGTATCTCTGTTTAGCATGATATTTCCAAAATCATCTATGTCAAACATACCAATGATATCATCTAAGTCAAACTGAATATCCTTCTTTCTCTTCTTTGACTGCTTTATCTTCTCAAAGTCAAAGTCTGAGTCATCTGAGTTAGCTTGATCCTCTTCAGGAACAGTATCTTTTTTCATCTCAATAAAAGATTCTTCTGAGGAAATGTTGTCTATAAGATTTTCTATGAGATTAGGCATGAACTCTAAATCAAGCTCAGCTATCATATCTTCATCCAAGAGATGCTAGTAGTTATGATCTTTGGCAAAGGGGTCATAACCTATGGCGATGTCTTTTTCATAAGTCTAAGTTCTTCTTGTGACGTTCTTAGTTTTAGCTAAATTATAACTCTTTTTATTATAAGGATCATTGATGTGAGTGTAGCAATTGTTATAGTGATATTTAAACTTAAGTCTTTCTCTGAATAATTCCAACTTAGCCAAGTACTCCACATCATTCAGCTTTTTAGTGTTATTTGGATAGCTTTCATGTGAGAATTCAGATCTGTCGAAGTCAGACTCAGGTGCCATATCATCGTACCATTCTCTCATTATTTCATCATCGCAGGATTAGCAGTCACGCTTCTTAATGTTAAGTTCTCGGCGCTGCTTCTCAAGATCTTCCTAGAACTCTTTCTTAAATTTGTTAAATTCCTCAATATTTTTAGAAGGCTCATCAAAATCAATATCATGCAGTGCTAGCTATCTCAATAAGTTCTAAGTTGACATTGATCTAGTTTTATTTCCTAGTTTCTAACTCTAATTGAAATCTTTTGAGATAATTTCTTAATCACTGTGTCTTTAGTGCTCGAATTTCTCAGTCCTGGCTGACTCTAAATTTTCTTCATTTTACTGTTACTTAATAGGAGCAGATGGCTCTATCATAGTCTGATTAATTATATCTAACGTCGTATTATTTGGATCCTATGTCACATCTAGCAGTCCATAACTTGAAAGATCTCTATCACCAAAAAGTGGATATTGCAGGTCATTATAGATTTTTTTCTATAGATAAGTTTGATGTGGACCAGGCTAAACCACTTGTTATCTAAATGAAAGCTTATTCTCAACTTTTTCTCTAAGCTGTTCCTTTTCATATTTTTTACGTTTATCCTGTGCCATCGGATCTTCAAGTAGTATTTAAGTTTATCTTAACTTTTCCCTCTCAAGTGGGTCCATCAGATTCACCTAATCTTCATCTTAATCATCATAAATCCTATTAAACTTCTATTCTTCATTAAGTTTTCTGACCAATTTCTCTAGAACTTCTTTTTCAGTAGCCTCTTATCTCTTCAGATGGCTTTTTCTACCTGACTCACTTATAATCATCTTCTTCTCATAATCAAATGTAGCATCCTGAGCTCTTAATAAATTATCTTTATTCAAAGACATCATTGAATTTTCGTCTTCTATTACACTCATTACATTATCATCTTAGGGCATTTTCCTTAATAAGTAGCCTCTTTAGTTTTGCATCAAATTACCTTCTTGAATCGCTAACTTCTTATAATGAGCGAATTCAATAATCTCAAGGATAAAAATGCCCAATCCCATTATCATATTATCAATAGACATTACCATAATTTGATAACCCCAAGGAATGTAGATAAAGTTGTAAATATCCATGGCAATAACTGGCATCACTTGAATCACATAGTTAAATACAGTCACTAAAAACAATGGCTTGATGAGATTTTTATATCTATCTGAGAACCCAGCATTAAAATAAGTCCTTGGTGGGAATAATTAAGAATATATGCCTCTTATGGATTTGAAATTGAAAATGAAAATTGTATACTTGTAAATATTATACCATTTCTTATTCTCAGAGTACCAATGAACAAATGCTGGATCCTCTTTTCTATACTTCAAATGAAAAACTAATCCAAAAATAGCATTTGCAAGATACATAGAGATAAAGGCCATCATATGAACTCCTTTCACCATTACATAGTCGAGCTCAAAGGCAAGTCCAAGCATTGTTATATAAGATACAGTCTAAACGAACGTGTAAAATGTCAAAAGCATAGTGATAATATCAATCGGAGCATGAGTCTTGCGATATTTATAGATAACAAATCCTGTCCAAATGGCAATAGCAATTAAAAAGATCAGAGGAATATAGGCACCTGGAACTGGTATACACTTTGTCTTATCACTATTCAATTTATATCCCTCTCTACAAATTTAAAGAACAAGTTCGCATTCTCCGAAATTATTAAACTCATATCCATAAGGGCAAACATAACCCTCTCTAACACAAATATTTCTAGTAGTACTTAGTCTAGTATACCCAGTTGGACAATCATCCTTATAACATTTGAATTTATAGAACAGGTAGCCTAGTTTATCATCACACTCTGTACAGTAATCAGAAGTTTTCTAGCATTTCTTACAACCTGCATCACAAGTCTTACAAATTGATAATCCATCTGAGCCTGTAATTTAAGTTGTGCCTTATGGGCAAACACCAACGCAAGTTTAGTCCTTTTAAAAATAAGAGAGACCTGGATTACAACTCAGACATTTTTTTACATTAGTCAGTTCGCATGTTCTGCATAGAGGATCACAGTACTCACATGTCGTACCAGAATCAGTAGTCTTGCCTACTGGACAAGTATCTACACAGGTGTTATCTAGTTTGTTTAATTTTAGTGGCAAGTAGCATGAGGTACAAGTTGAAGGTGACTCAGAACATCCTAAACAGTTTGAATCGCATGGAATACATGTGGTTGTTCCTGATGCAACCGAGGATAATGGACAATTTGAATAGCAGAATCCCATATAGAGCAAATTTTTATCTTGATTCTCTAAACAAGAAGTACAAATAGTGGTCTTTCCAGAGCAAGTTTAGCATGGACTTTTACACTTTAAGCATTCTTATGTTCCAGCATCTTCTACATATTAATCAGAACTGCATTTTTTAACACAATTTGAACCCTCCTTGTAGAAGCCAGCTGAACATTTGGTACAGAAGCCTGCTTCTCCTAAGCATTCTGCACATTACGACTCACATTTTAAGCATTAATTGTTCAGTGAAAAATATGTTGATGGGCAAGTTTCTATGCACTGATTATTGAGAATTAACTTGTATTAGGAGATTATATCACAGGTCAAGCATTTACTAGGAGACCCAGACTAACAAGTGAGGCAAGGATAGTCGCAATCATTCGTTACAGTCAGATATTGATAAGCGTAGTTTATAATGTTACCATCTGATGTTCTTGTTTCAATTTGGAATGAATTAGTTTAGGCAGCAAGTTTGGAATTAATTAAACCGTATATATTCACTGTGAAAGTAGTCCCTGCAGCTACCTGTAAATTAGCGGCATCCTTTACTAAGATATTTTACTTTGATGTATCAATAGTGCATTTAGGTGAAGCAGTAGATTAACTAACTGAGCAATTGAACTGGGAGGCATCTGCAGTTATTTACTTTGGATAGTAAATCCAAACTTGTCCGTTTGCTGGGAGAGGATTTTCTAGCTTGAAAGTGAAAGTAAATGCAGTGACTACAAAAGGTCTGGTAATCTAATGAGCTACAGTAATAGTTTTTAAAGGAGCACCCTATGCCATCTTAACTCTAAAAGCATCCAATGCTGCGTTGTTTTTATTAACTTGCTCATTTGTTGAATCGAGAATCTCAGCTGTAAAGAGATCAGTTTGAAGTGTACTTGATGGATTTGCAACGTTTCTAACGATGAATGAGAAAGCTTAGTTAGCTGTCATAGTTTAAGTAAAACTCAATGTTACTATGACTCCATAAGGACCACTTATTGAGCAAGGTAAAGAGCTAGCAAGATTTGTGACTCCTGAACAAGAGCTTAGAGTGTTTGCTAAGGGTTGATTAAGTTGAGTAGGAAATTAAATGAGTACTTTGTCCCCATTCACCAAGGGTGTAGGTGAGGCAATAGTAAATGTGTAATAATTTACAGAGCCTACAACAAGTGTGTTTGATTGGACAGTTTGAGTTGTCAAAACATTAGTATCTTTCATGGTAACTGTCATCTAATCAGTTTTTATGTCAATTAAATCTCCAAGAGAGCTATATGTCTATACAGTGAAGCTACCAGTTGTTTACAAAGATCTTGGATTCTTTAATCCACTTATAGTAACTTTAAGATCTGTGAATAATTCAAAGTTCGCATTCTTGAATCCATCATTGACTCTTACTGTATTACTTGTAATTATGCATGTTGCTGTAGCCTCAAAATTAACAAAATTTGAACAGGCAGAAGTTGAAGGATTTGGAATAGTCAATTATGAAGGTAGGGTAATTACAACATAGCCCCCCTTAATTATTGCATTCTTAACTCTAAAGCTTAGTGTATAAGAAGTTACTTCAGCTGAAAATAATGATAAAGTTGAAACAGAACCTGAAAGCAAAACTCCATTTGTTGCTTTATAAAGATTGCTTGATGTTTGTTGATCAACTAAATAATATATTCCAAGATTTTGAGTATAGACCTAGAAAGTATAGCTTCCAGTAACACCTGTAGTAGGAGGAAGTTTAATATATGAGATCTTGAATTCCACATTCTAACTAGATGAATAGGTATAGTCATTTTAAAAAGCATTGAAGATTGATATTGTATTAGCTGCTGAATCAGTTTGACAAGTTGAGCTAGATGATATCAAATTTAAGCCTTGAATATTACAACTTGATAGCACTCTCATCTAACCTATTGGCAAAGTAATTATTATTTTAGAGTTTTTTATTGTTTGATGTAGAGGCTAAATTGAAAATTTAACGGTTGTTTCTGAATTTATCTCTGTCTGGTCACTAGTCAAAGCTTAAGTATTGATTGAGCCAAATGTTGTGGTCACAGTTGGACCAACGCCCAAAGTACTTATTATCATCTGAGAATTTTTGTCGTAAATATTTATCTCAATAGAATTCGTTGTCATTACATAGATAGGATTTTTAATGTTTTAGAAATAGACTATTGCACTATTTGAATTATCTCTATAGCTAGGGCAGGCATTGGTAATTAAATAGGAATTCAATGTCTTGTCAATCGTTCCAGAGATAGTTCTTTAAGTACTTGGCAATCCAAATGCTTGCACAAGAGTCAACTGGCTTTAATCTAATGTTATCTGAGAAGGAAACACAATTTCAAGGATACAACCTTAACTTAAAGGTACTGGTGGAAAGAATTCAACTCTATATCTAGTCAATTCCTGAACAGTAGTAAGATCAGGCTTTACGCTTGCTGTTGTGATAGAGCCAACAATTGACATTTACAGAGTCTGAGTTGCTGAATCTATGAGGCCAGTAGATGCATCTCCGGTAGAAATAACAAAGCCAGACACTACTTAGGTGGTTAGTGGGTTTCTAAAGTTCCCTAGTTTAAAACTAATTATCGTTCCACTAGTAACAGCTGCACCAAAGAAAGAATTCGTAATTGTTAGTGTTTATGTTGCTGTATCAAATCCACATGTTGGGCTAGTAGCTATATTCCTTAATCCAGTACATGAAACTGGACTTGTAGAAGTGAGATAAGATTGGAGTGTGAACTATGTTCCTTGAGCATCTGAATTCCAATAGGGGAATTTAACGTAAACTTTGCCTCCTATAGGAATTAAATTTTTTGTTGTAAAAGTGATGGTAAGTTCTTTGCCTGTCTCTCCAACTTTGTTTGAGTCTGATGTCATAGAAACTGTTGAGAATGAATCTGACGTTGCTTGCAAGAAGACAAAATCCTGCTAATTATCTAGTAACTAGCTGCTAGCATCGAGAGTGAATATCTAAAATGAAGATAGCTTTGTGGTAGAAGCAGGGTTCTTAAAGTTCTGAACATTTAATTCAAAATAATCAAGAATCGAACCACCACTTAACTTTGCAAGCAGTTAAATATGATTTGTTGCTGTCAAAGAATATGTGCATGTAGCAGTCATTCCAGTTGGTCGTGTCTAAAAAGTGATATTAACTTTTATGTAATTTATACTTACTATAGTGCATGATGTGGATGGGTTAGTAGTTACTTCAGATGGGAACACAACTCTAATGAAACCCCCATTAGGTATAGTTGTTTGAATGTAAGAATATATTTTAAGTATTGAAAATGAATTCACTGTTGATGGATTAATTTCGACTCCTCCTGAATTCAAATCAGCCCCTATTTTATATTCTCATTAATTTTTGTATTACCTTGCGAATAATGTATTAGCTATAAGAGTATAAGAAATGAGAATAGGAAACTCTTCACCCTTTGCTTAGCTTTTATTTTCATATTAACTTTTAATTATCTTTTTTGAAAATATCATAATGATATATTCTCTCGGGGTTTTGGGGTTTTGGGGGGATCGGAAGAGC